CCGGACGTGTGCCTTAGTTCGACTGCCAACTTGCTCAAACCTATTTTCCGAAATTTGCTGAAACAAAGCTGCACCACCGATATCCTTGACACATAATTGCAGGGTAAATCGTGAACTTTGGTTGGCTGGCGCTCGAGTAGGTGCATTCCCAAGCTTGGTGCGGATTGCAGGAGCCACACCAGTACCCCATTTTCTGACGTCTGCCTGTCAGTCGACGGCCTCGACAACCGTGATAACACACAGGCATGCCGCTAACGCATGGCCACCTCTAGAGCTTGGTCTTCGACGCTAACTCTCCAGCGGCGCTGAGTCACAACTGCACCCACAAACCGGCGCCATCTCACGCTCATCAGCCGGCGTGTGGCTCTCGCGAACATGCACTCCCGACTCAGCCAATGGGTAACAATCGGGAGATGGCACCCAAAAAAACCGCCTAACTAAAGCAGCCTGTCTTACGGAACAGGTGATAATAGATGTTTTAGGGGTGGTGGCTGGTCGGGATGTACGATACTAGCCGACGGAAAGCCTTATTTGAACAGGTAAATGATCGAAGTTGGCCCGCTGTCCGTTTCGTTATTACAGAATGGGTCGCCAAAGGCAGTATAGTGGTAACGGACGAGTGGAAGGCGTATAATCGTCTTCCCTCAGAAGGTTATCTACCTTCCTCTGTTAACCACTCAAAGAACTTCAAGGAGCCTACCACCGGACGGCACACCAATGCCATTGAGGCATACTGGAGTAGACTGAAAAGGAAACTCTATTAAGGAGGCCCTGTATGTGGTCAAACTGTGTGGGCTCACATAGACGAAGTACAGTATCGTCCTTGGTTTGGCTTCAATGCCATGTCTTTGACGGATGCCTGGGAACTGTTTCTGTCCCATGTTGTGCAGACTTATCCTATTTAAAAGTAATTTTGTTTTGTAATAAACTGCCATAATGCGAATGTATGCTGTATATTCAGGTGTACGTGTGTAACGATGGGGAAGGTTGGGTAACAGCGACCATCGTCCATGTAACCTCGTGCGATGTTCGTTCGGTCAGCCCATGTTAGGCCGTCGGGGAAAGTCCAAGTAGTGCGTGAAAGTAGGCCTGCAACCGCTGATATAGCCTGAAGGCGTTTGAGTCCACTGTTAAAAGTATTATTTCTAGGTAACGGATTTTTTTGGGTGCCATCTCCCGATTGTTACCAGCCAATGGACCAACCAACCATATACCGAACACTGTTAGTCACTTGTTTATGGCGGCACGGCCATATCAGACCCGTGTTAACAACATGGCGTTACTCACGTACCCCCGAACGGAATCCTTATTCTGGCCCACAAACAAACTGATAACTCACCATAACCTGCTCTGTCTGCAGAATAAATCAGTTTCCAGAGTTCTGTGACATCTGTCATTAGACGGGTCGGACTTATTGTGTGCGGTTAAAGTTGATTTGTTATTCTCGAGGGCTACAGTACGATCAAAAATAACCGTCTAATGTAACTGCCGAAGGGCAAGGAGTATTTTTCTTACAAGGACATGGAGGGAGTCAAGAAATTATTTTCAAGGGCTGTACATACCTAGATAATGTGGCATCGGCAGAGACAATGGAGAATGGAATGGCCATTTCTGGTTTATTAGCCGTCACCAGGCGGTCATACCCAACCGAAAGGACAAAGGACACACTGCTCAACGGTAGACCGTTAAAACTACTGGCCAAAGATCCCGGATTCGAATTCCATATGTTCCAAACCTGAGGTCGGGCATGACTCGCTGACGACGGCCAATAAGTCAGAAACGACCATTCCAGTCTCAAGCTCCCCTGTTGACGCGACATTATCTGCATCTGCTACTATTTACTATGCAACCGCCTGCGAGGACTCTAGTTTGAGCCCCAGGGTTTGAGTATGTGCACTAACCCGACCGGTGAACGCCACACTATCACAGTAAATACCAGTTAACGAGAACGCTGAATTTCATTCAGCATATTCACGAATAACCGGATTTTCAGTAATGTGCTGCCAGCCTGTTTCAAGTATCGAAGTTTGAAAAGACCTAATTATCCACAAAATAGGTCTTAGGAACTAAATTTTGTGTATCCTTCTTGATTAACATGGTAAAATTTCCACAAGCATTAGAGATTCTTTGAAGAAACACACGCTACTTAATATGGGATGGATGGTGAGCACTTAACAGGAAGGCAGCCTGATATCGAGAACGAATTAACGTAAATTTGCAACCCATACTGCTCGATTATGTACCCTTTTCTATTCGAGGGCCAAATTAACAAGTCCAGACAATGTTTCGCTCGTTCAGGAGTCTATTGTAACCGAGACTGCTTGCAATAGGGTAAAGGGTGATAATTTATGCAAAACTCTTTGAAATGGATGAATATAGGGTATCGGTCAGTGTTTCATCCTGCGCTCACTGACTGCCACTTCCCTGTGACATTCAGAAATTCCCCATAGCTGAGGACCTCAAACCCATCAAATGAACTGAGGGACAATTTAAATAAGACAGCTGATGGTAGGGATCAAAGGTAATAATGGGCGAGAATAACAGTAATTTAGAATTGTAGACTGCTTACAGTTATTGACCTTAGAGATGCCGAATTCACTGGGTTTGAAGTGTTCATATGTGAACGGTAACCGAGTTGCGTAGATTGAATCTAAGTGAAATCCAGAAGCAATCCGACCACTGAATCTCCAATGATTTAATAAACTGGCGGGAATTTTCCGCTGAATTGAACGATTAAGTTGTGTGAGGAGGAGCACGAGTCTTTCATAGATCACTAACAACCAGTTTCCAAGGCCGCGTTCAAACAAAGCATGTACAGCCAATTGGTTTTGTTTTATCCAGCAAAACCAGCAGTGCCTACTGACCTCAAAAAAGACAAAGGAACTCACACTGACCCGAACAGACTTTTACGAATCGCAAAACGTGCCTGACAAACGCCGCATTTTCAGGCACTAGTTTTAATAAGGAGATGCATGCAATCGAATGCTCCTGTTACTTCCTAAAATCCGACTTAAACGATTGTCCTTTAAAGTACGAAGTTAGGCACCAGGACTACATGAGCAAGTCCTCAGCTGCTCAGATCTGTTCCTAGTAGGTACATCAGCTCTCAACAACCGCGGTTTAGATAGTGCTGTAGCCAAATATAAAAAGTGTTCCAATTGGTACACCACCAAAAGCAAAATAACTACTACTACTTCTAATACCACAATATTATCACTCACCAGCATCGGCGCAGAGAAACGCACAGATTGAACGGACCACCTCTGTCTTACTTGTTTCGACTAGAGTGCAATATAATCGCTCTTCTCCCTGAAATCAGCCCCAACACCACTCCTGAATCGTTTAAATATTGGATCATATTTATAGCAGTAAATCCGAATTATGTTATCACATACAGTTACCACTTTCGCTTTTTCTGTGACCCCATGGCTTACGTTGTTACCAAGCGAATAAGCATGGCAAGCATACTTTTAAGTGTGCCAGTTCCGAAAAGGTAGTTAGATGTCGGCTGAAGCACTGAATACAAGAAAATGAATATGGTGAATACACTCTCCAAAGTATAATTTCCGAGGTCGAAATCGAAGTGCAGACATTTATCCAACGAAGGTTAGTAGTAACCATGTAAGTATGGAGTTCTGAGATATGGCTATATTTTAGTTTTGTCTCGAAATATCCCAAAGACTAAGAATGCCTATTGCCAGGCGTGGACTCCAACTTAACTCACTGGGCTTTCGTAGCACTGTAGTGCCTCCACGTTTCTTAGTCTTACCTATGTCATCCCTGTACTCTGCACCGAAAAACTGCGCATTGAGCTACCAGTTAACCTACGCCGGCGTGCGGTGAGAGCGAGTGGCAGACATAGCGGGAGAATGCATTGGCAAGGAGGGACTTAAGAAAATTCTAAGAGCTACAGTTCTAAAGGTTACAATTTCTAAATTGGAGTATCTACCAGAAAGCAGACAGGGAATGCTGGGGGACCCACTGACGAGTCGAACCCCTCACAGCTGTGTCATGTAGCGACAGAATATCAGCGAAATATGTGCATCTGGACTGTTGGCTAGTATCTGTGCTGTAAGTATGAAATCCCCTTACCCTAAAGTATACTACTAACTGCCTGTCGGAAGTTAATAAATATTACGCGGTTATCCGCTGTGGCTGATGGATTCGGTCTAAATATTCATACATAAAAACTTTGGTCTGAGCCTATAGAATTTAAATATGCTGATCTATTCCAAGTTCGCAGTTAATTTCTAAAGGAATTAAAAAGCTACAAGGGATTATAGATACCAAAAAGCTACGTTGAGTTAGATGCCCATTACGAGGGTCTGCGTTCACGATTGACTGCCCTCTGCCCTAATCACGCCTCAATGACCGCAAATACAGCCGCCCGCATTCCAACTGATTCACCACCCGCCCTCCCCCTCCAGCACAGTGTGCCGTAGTTGTTCCGCCTGCTCTCTCTTTCCCTTCCCCTCACTCAGGGACCCATCATGACCTCTGGAACCCTCCCTCACACGTCAGTGGTCCGTCTGTCCTATCACACCAACTGGTCTACTGTGACAACCGAACTCTCCCCCTTGCTTCCATTTCGTCTGACGACGGGTTGGTGTAATCAGCTCGAAAATTCACGAGCACAACTCAACTTTTCCGAAGAACCTCTTCTATTTTTCATTATATCAACTCGGAACACATACCACCTCTTATCTACTGCATATATATACATGAACCGTCACCCTCCCTCCCTCCCCCCCCGCCCGCCACAGTTCATGTGTGCATGCGGCTGATGACCACTAAAGCTGATCCACCACCCCCTCATCCGGCGAAAAGACGCTCTAGGACTCCCCCCCCGCCCCCATCCCCCCTGCCGCCCTGACTTCATATGTAAGAAAACCCGTTTTGACATGACTGTTACCCACCAATAAATACTGTGAGGCGCGATACCACACTCACCTCCGACGATGGAGGCTTGTATGCTTTTGAAACGTCAGGATAGTAAAACTATGGTTCCCGAGATCGCCTTTTCTTCTCAATTATGTCCGGGGACGCGCATCTTCGCTTCTATTAGCAATATTTTCCCGCGCGAAGCGCTTGAGTCTGCACGACGTTGGGAAATATTCACCCTTCGTGTGTCTTCTACGTACGCGCAAATACAATTCCTCCACAGATGCCTTGACAATCATGTGCTTCCGAAGAGCCTGTCGTACAGGCCACCGGTGAACACAAGTCTGGCCAAACGGTGGGTGGCTGAACATGGCAGACGAATGATTCGGGCGCTTCTCCAAGATTGCCATCTTCGACTGCGTAAATACAACAGGGTTTTGAGCCAGGCGGTTACAAAGTGCGTCGAACTTATCGGTGATGACGGAGTCGCGCAGTTGCAAGAAGTGATTAATAAACGGGCCCGGAACCTGCGAGCAACAAGAGATGCCGAGCTGGCGGTCAAGCTCCAAAGCATAAGCAAATCATCTCAAGAGGAGAACCAAGTCCTGGTGCACAATATGTCCTCTAAGCAGCTGACTCCTGCACAAATGAAAGTGCTGAGTCATGAGGCTTGCTTCAACACCACAGACGCCGATCCAGTCAATCTCGTGGCCACGGTAGAGTCGATTCTCAAACAAACCGGGGAATCCGACGAAACAAAGCATCTCATTGGACAGCAGGTAGCCTCCTTGGCGATGTCACACAAACCGCGTGCAACTATTACCAAGGCCGAGCAGAGCGCTCTCAAGACACTGAGGGCTGACACCAGCATCGTGATTCTACCAGCCGACAAAGGGCGTTCCACAGTTGTGATGGATAAGGCAGACTACATTCAGAAGGCCAATGTCCTACTGGAGGACTGACAGGCGTACCTACCATGTAACGATGAACCGATGAGGAGGCTGGTGACGCAACTGGACAAGACACTCGCCGACATGCAAACGAGCAAGGCAATAAGTAAATCGGTACGACTGGCCATTAAGCCAGTAGACGCGGCCGCACAAAGGTTCTACGGACTACCAAAGGTACATAAAGCCGGGGTCCCCCTCCGGCCAATCGTATCATTGCGCGGCGCACCTACATTCAATTTGGCCAAATGGCTGTTCCGAAACCTGAGGTCTCTCACCTCGGACGCGAGCACGACGGTCTGTTCAGCGACTCAGTTCCTGGAGCGGATCAAAGGGATGAGACTTACCGAAGACGAGGTCATGGTGTCATTCGACGTCACCTCTCTTTTCCCCTCGATCCCGCAAGACCTGGCAATCGAAACAGTCAGCGAGCTGCTCGAGAGTCAGTACGACGAGACGGATGTGACGGTAAAAAGGAGACATCTCGTCCAATTGCTGAGATTCTGCCTGAAGACGTAGTTTACCTTTGAAGGCACGACCTACGAGCAGGTCAAGGGGACGCCAATGGGATCGCCGCTCTCGGGCTTCATCGCAGAGGCAGTTCTCCAAAAAGTAGAGACCCTCGTTTTCTCAACCTATAAGCCGAAATTTTGGGCTCGATATGTCGATGATACCTTCGTTATCATTAAGCGGCAAATGGTCAAGGAATTCCATGATGTCCTGAACTCTGTTTTCCCTGACATCCAGTTCACAATGGAGGCGGAAGTCAACAATCAACTCCCGTTCCTGGACGTTCTCGTCCATCGAAAACCCAATGGGCACCTTATAACGACGGTATATAGGAAGGCCACTAATACGCGCCAAATCCTGAGCTTCCACAGTAAGCACCCGTTAGGCCACAAACGCAGTTGTGTGCGAACACTCTACAGAAGGGCAGAAACACACTGCAGCGAGCCGGACGACAGAAGGTCAGAACTACGCTACCTCCAGCGCCTCTTCATTGCCAACGGGTATCCTCGCAACTTCATCGAACGCGGTCGACAGGCCGGACCGAGGCGACGTTTGGTGACAGAACGACCAACAATATGGCGGGCGCTTCCATACATCGACGGCGTTTCTGAGGCCGTCTCGCGTCTCTTAAGACCGCTGGGGATCGGCATCGCCCACCGACCGGAGTCAACAATTCGACATCTGGTCATGAAACTTAAGGCCCCTCTGCCACTAGGTGAAACCACGAACGTCATCTACCGGATCCGGTGTAACTCCTGCGAAGTCAACTACATTGGGGAGACCGGCAAACGGCTACAGACCCGTGTTGGAGAACACATGAGGGCAGTACGGCGAATGGACCCTTTGTCTCTGGTGGCCGAACACTGCGCCGATGCCGGACACACGTTCGCCTTTCAGCATGCCGAAATTCTGGGCCGGGGAAACGATCGCACAGCCAGGGAAACAATCGAGGCTTGGCACACGGGGACAACCTCCATCAACCGCTGTGTGACTCTTCCCGCTGCCTATCAAGCCCTTCGAGCGCAGCTCAGTAAACAAATGAGCAGACGTGCACCCAGGCTAAACATGAATCCAGACATGAGCGAGCCCATGGCGGATACACAGTCAGCCACCCTTCAACCGGATTCCGACGAAGGCGCAGTCCTCATCACAGCCGGTCCCTCTACTAGTCTGGCGGACGAGAAAACGGACAGTCGTTCCGGCGTAAACAAGATTGCCAGGCATGGACGACAGCTACGGTCAATGAAGGTACGAACGACGACCACCAACGTCTCAACGCCGGCTTCCGATGTAGATTGAGTACATTCCGTCATCCTCCCTCCCTCCCCCCCCGCCCGCCACAGTTCATGTGTGCATGCGGCTGATGACCACTAAAGCTGATCCACCACCCCCTCATCCGGCGAAAAGACGCTCTAGGACTCCCCCCCCGCCCCCATCCCCCCTGCCGCCCTGACTTCATATGTAAGAAAACCCGTTTTGACATGACTGTTACCCACCAATAAAAACTGTGAGGCACGATACCACACTCACCTCCGACGATGGAAGTTTGTATGCTTTTAAAACGTCACCGATCGTTTCTACGGAACTCACTCGTCCCGTTGTGCCTTACGGTCTCTCTCTCTCTCCCGAGCCCAACCAGCAAACGCACAGCGGCGCATGATATAGACAGAATGGTATTACCCTTGTCTTTACCGGTAATACCATTCTGCCTATATCATGCGCCGTTGCAGATAATGAGACCCAAAGATCCGCTACCAGCAACAGAACAATCAGCAGTAGTCTACAGCATACTGTGCCAAAATTGCAGTGTGAGGTTTGTTGGTGGAACGGGGAAGGGCCTCTGCACAGGACTGCATGAGCACCAGCTTGCAGTCAACCGCGAGGATAGACTGTCACTGGTATCTGGCCACATGAACAGGAGGAACAGAGTTGCGCCTTTGGGAAGGCAAGTGTCCTCGGTCGAGCCAATAACAAAATGGCCAGACTGGTGCTCGAAAGTTGGTCCTCAGGTGGCACAATCAACAGGACTACTGATCTTCATCCGGCCTACCAGGCGCTACGTACAAGGCCCCAGTCACCCAAGGTGGGGCCGACAGCACTGGCGCGCGAGTCGCGACTCCTCCAACAGTTGTCAACTTCACAGCAGGGGAAAAGAGCCAGTCGGAGGTCAAAAGACCAACGCGAGACATCGACCCACCGGCGCGCCCAAACAGCCGAGCGTGATTAGCACATGCAACGGCAGTTGATCAGCCGATCCGGTTATAAGACGAGAGCCGACGGGCACACAGGCCGTACAGCGACTACGACAGCCGAGCAGGGGGCAGAGATTCCACGAGCGCGCCAGCGGTCGTCCAGGGAGAGACCAAAGCCAATCCCCAGCCAGAAGGCGGGTCGGAGTTCGTGCATGCCTATAACACGAGAGAGGCAGCGAGGCAGAACAACTCCAGGCTAGCAAGAACAGACACCCCACCACTCTGATGATGAAAACAAGGAAGTTTCCGAAACGTCAGCACCAATACAGTGCGGTTCATGTGATCGCCCCTTTTTCTTCTTCGTCTTGTTTTGGGGATGATGAACGGGATATATGTATGTAATGGGAAAATGAATGTGTCCTCATAGTCTGCTTTGGATGCATCGAGAATATATATAGAGATCCCCCATTACAGATAATCTTGTGCTAAATTTCAGGAAGTGTCAATTCCTGTGTCCTCACCCAAACTTTAACCCTAGCCCCGTGCTTAACCCTGACGTGTAGCGCAATCCTACTCTAACTCTACCCCTAAGCGCTTGGTCCAAGACCACCTGGATAAGGGGGAGGGGGTTGTGTTCTCGTGTCCTATCAATATAAGTATGTAATTTTGGCCTGAAAGGTAAAGTTATCATTTTATTTATCTACACTCTAACAATAGAAGCGAAGAGACGAGTCCCAGGAAGCAGTCTTGAAGAAGAAGCCACGATCGCCGGGACAAGAGCTTTATTGGCCTGACGTTTCGGATTCCTGCTCGAATCCATCATCAGAAACAAAAGCAGATAGGGGTGGTTCATGCACATGCGGCTGCAGTATTTATAGGATGCAGTAGCCATGCTACCGCATACCTCTGATGATGGATCCGAGCAGGTGTCCGAAACGTCAGGATAATAAAGCTCTTGTCCCGGCGATCGTATCTACACTCTCTTCACAACTCATCGTCGTATTGCAAAGTGATTTTGCTCTATATTACGCATAAATCACTACCAGTAGTTTTTATGACGACACTTCTTACTTACAGAACATTTTTCCTGCGAGAAAATGTTAATTTCTAAGTTTGGGTCCAGAAAAATAAGTTTGGGAACCTCCAGCGTACGGCCATCGTGGATGGACAACAGACTAACCTCCTCCATCTGATTCTTGGCCTGTAGAAGACGACTTGTTTGTCGGGCGAGCTGGGCAGTCGGTGACTCACTGGGTTCATCGTCTACCCGGCATGACGAAGAGTCGGTAGCAATGGCAGCGTTCGGCCTCGGCAGTCGGACGAGCTGCTGCGTAGCGAGGAGTTTGGGGAAGTGTTGCAGAGCCAACTGTGCCCATCTTGACAGGCTGGACAACTCGGAGGCAGTGGCGATGGTTTGTGGTTGCTGCTGTGGCTCATCGCTCCCTTCAGTAGCCTTAGTCGTCAACTTTCTGAGGAGAGAACCATGTGACAACCGTAATGGTCTCAGGCTCGCAATCTGATTCTGCAAAAACACAAGACGTAATGTTACTCAGAGAAAGGTTCGTATACTACAAATTATTCCGTGACTCGAGGGTAGGGATACATGTTTCACTGTCATAAACTGAATTCCAAGCCCCGCAGGCTGCACTACAGGCGAATGGCCGTCGGTTTGTCGGATCCGGGAATTCCTATGGAAAATTAGTAGTGGACGCGGCTCAGTGTTACGAGAGTCTTGCGAGAGAGGGACACATGTAACTGAAGAGATGAACTAGGCCGAAAGTGGGGTAGCTCCGAGCTGTATAAAGTAGTAAAACTGACATTAAATGAAACTTTAAAAAAGAAACATAGCTGAGTTATAAATTCCGATAATAATCAAGCTTGTCCATCCGAGTCGAATGAAAGATCATAATGCATAATTAATGTCGCGGTTTCTGAAGATAGCAAGCATTTCGTTTTAGGAATGTTCCTCTGTTCGATTGCAAGCCTGTGAATGTTTATTTTCATCCAATTATATCTGAAAATTAAGGCTTTTGCTCTCAATAGATCATTGACTGTGTCTCCCGAACTCTTTTGGCCGCATTCGTGCGCAGTCACGAAACGCTTGATGGGAATTCTGTAAGACATCTCCTGCCTGTCTCCAGTGCACTGCTGAGCCACGTTCACTTTTGTTCAGCGTTTCAGGTTTATCTTCTGGATCCTTAGGAATTGTGTGAGGAGGGCATTCAGACACGCCAAAAAGGCGATTGAGGGTGTTGTATTTAACTGCTTCGATATGTTAAGAGAACACTTGGATTGCTAAGTTTTGTATGTTCT